AATACGGAAGATGTAACACATGGTAAAAACAGGGGGGCTACTCACGGTCAGAAGCAACGGTCGTCGTAGTAGAAGTAGTAATAATATTGGTAGTAGCAGTTAGTGAGTAGTCGTGAGAACAATAGAAGTGATAGTCGTGGCGGAAGTACTGGTCGCGATCTAGATAGATAGACAGATAAACGAGCATATGGATAAATAGATAGATAAATAAATCAATAAATAAATAATAGTAAGGATAGTAACCGAAACAGTGGTAGTAGTAGCAATAGTAGTAGTAGTAGTAATAGTAGTAGTAGTAGTAGTAGTACTAGTAGTAGTAGTAGTAGCAGCAGTAGTAGTAGTAGTAGTAGTAGTCGTAGTAGTAGTAGTAGTAGTAGTAGCAGTAGTAGTAGTAGTAGTAGTAGTAGTTAGTAGTAGTAGTAGTAGTAGTAGTAGTAGTCGTAGTAGTAGTAGTAGTAGTAGTAGTAGTCGTAGTAGTAGTAGTAGTAGTAGTAGTAGTGATAGTAGTAGTAGTAGTAGTAGTAGTACTAGTACTAGTACTAGTAGTAGTAGTAGTAGTAGCAGTAGTAGTAGTAGTAGTAGTAGCACGCAGTAGAACAAGGAGTGGTAGTAGTAGTGATGGCAGTAATCAAAAATGAGTCAGTCGTACTCGAAGTAGCACCAACAATCTCAATTGCAGTGAAGGCCTCAGCAGTAGTAGTAGTAGTAGTAGTAGTAGTAGTACTATTACTACTACTACTAAGAGTCGTATCACTAGCACCCGCAGCGGTAGTAGCAGCGGCAGAAGCAAGTAGCAGTAGGACGGGAAGGGGAGGAAGCGAGCGAAGGGAGGCCCCTGGAGCAATCTTCCAACAGAAAAAAGGATGTGTGACCTAACTGCTTCTTTCTGCAAACACGACTTCCTTGTCGGGCCGTTTGATCGCACGAGCGCAGAAGTTCATGGCGGCCCACTTCTGGCGATGGAAAAAAAAAAAAAAAAAAAAAAAAAATGATGCGCACGTTTGGGGCGGGCGGGCAAGGGGGAGGAAGGGCGGGACGGGGATGGGGGGGAAGAAGATACGGATGAGATCCCTGTCAGCTTGCTCAGCCTCGAGCCTCTCGGCCTCGATGTCATTGTGGAAACTCGTAACAGAGCCGGTGCTGTCGCGGGGCGAGGCCCCGGGCTTCTCGCGGGACCTCGGAGTCTCCGCGGGCGAGCTAGAGAGACCCACGAGGGCCGACAAGCTCAACAACTCGGACGGCATCCCGCTGTCTCGCCCCATCGAGCGCTCGCCGCAACGCTGCTATGGTTCGACGCTCGAAAGCTTGAGGCGGCGTGGCCGCGGATTGTGCTAGCTTCTCGTTGTTCGCTCGCTGCTGTTGGTTTCGTGTTGTTACCTCGTTGCTGATGCTGTTGATTGTGACTCCTGGTGGCGATGGTAGCTTTTTGGCGTTGCCTTCTCATCGCCGCTGTCGCGCGCGCTGCTTCTTGTCGGTTTCTTGTTGCTGCGGGCGTGGGTAGCTTCTCGTGGCTAGTTTCTTTTGCGAGTTTCTTGCGGTCAGTTTCTGGTCGTCGCCTCGCTGCTAGCTTCTTCGCGCCAGCTTCTTGTTGCCAGCGTATTGCTTGTGTTGTTAGCTTCTTGTCGTGATATTATTGCCGTTGACGGCGTTATTGCTGTTGTTGACTGCTGTTGCGCTGGTTGCTGGTGCTGTTCTTGCGATGATTGATGGTGATGATGTAGATTGTGGTTGCTGATGTTGTTGCTCTTGTTGTTCTTTGATTGCAATTTGTTCTCGCTCGTGTTCTTCTTGCCTGTTTCCCGCTATCCGCGGCCTGGGCACTCGGTCGCAGCTCCCAGCGGCTCGACAAACGCTGGAAAGACGCCCTCGTTCTGGCCTCGGCGCCCTGGTCAACAACGATCACCGGCGAGCTCTGACTCGCCGGCGCGAGGTCGCCCTCAACCTCCCCGCGCTGGGACTGGGCGACTTGGGGCATGGACTCGACGACGTCGATCTGGTTGTTCTCGAGCTGTATGTTTTCGACCGACACCTCCTCGGAGTAGATATTCTCGAGCTGCTCGGCCGTCGGCTCGTCCTCGAGCTCGCCGCGCTCGGCCTTGTCCTCGGGCTCGATGTCCTCGGCGGGGGCCTGGGCCCGGGCGTCCCCCGCCACGCCATCGGGCTCGCTATAGGAATCCGGCGCGTTGCCCATCAACCTGGACCCGCGGGCTCCAACATTCCCGGCCTCAGAGCCCACGCCCAGGAAGTCCTCGTCAAGCCCCCCTGCAATCGCACCCAATCCGCGGACCTATGGGGGCCACGTGGCTCAGTCTTGGCCGTCTGGGATGGTCAACGCCCGACCCCTACGTCTTCCAGGACCTTGCAGGACAATGGCTGCGTCTCGTCACGAACTCCCCTGCCCTCCAGTAGCAGCAGTTGAACGCACAGGCTAACACCAAGCTCGGTTTGGCCGAAACCCTCAACATGTTGGCCAAACATCACGCGCTGCAAGACATCGCGATCCCGAGTCACATGCGGAAGACGCTGCTGTCATACGGCTGCCAGTGCATTCGGACTGCTGGAAAGAAGATTTCAGAAGGTCTCGCGGTCTTGGTTGAATGCGAATACCGTGAGGGCCCCGATGACTCGATCCCCCACGGCGGGCCAGGTACCCATGCCCTGAGGACGGACAAACTGAAGGACGGCGATACTCGGGAGCTTAAGGATCCGAGGAGTGGGTCTGCATACGCTCGCGGTGTCAAACATCGTGCCGAAACTGTCGCTCTGAAGCCCCTTGGGTTCGGATTCGATGGCGCGGTTCGCTGGCTTAGAGGTGGCCAACCCAAGGAAATTGCCATGGAAGGGGAAGTTTTTTCCACGACGGCAGCGTGGACCGCGGCGTACGACGTTCCCGCCTGGTCCGTGGTCAAAACCGACGAGGCTGGCGACCGAGTTGCCGGCCTCTAGGCCATGCGGGGGCCAGCCTGCCCCAGACGTCGCCCGCTGCCGACCACCTGGGGTTTCTTGCCGCTGCGTCGTGCCCTGGGGTCACCGAAGTGTGACCTGATTTCAAAGGTATCCCTTCGGTCCACCACGGCCCAGGCGGTTAGTATAACAGAAATGTACGCTGGTATGTCTGTTTTGACCTGGGCCCAGGACATGCACAGTCGGGGCGTTGACCTAAGGAACCCTAAAGAGGGAACGAGGCCCCTTTTTTCCATAAGTTAACCTTCGATTTCCTGTCAAAAACATCAGGAAAACCTGAGGCAAGCTGTGAAATACTTAAGGAACGCGGAGCCCCTCCGCAACGAAAAGGATTCTTTCTTCAGGGCCAAGGACATGCATCGATCCCTCGCGATCCACACACTGAGACCCACCAGGGCCTTGAGGTGCCAGAGTCTGGCTCGAAGAACTGGGCTGGCAAGGTCGCCAAACAAGGAGGAGGAGGAGGGAGGAGGAGGGGGAGGAGGAGGGGGAGGAGGAGGAGGAGGAGGAGGAGGAGGAGGAGATATCCCAAGAGCGTCCCAGCAGGAGACAGACTTGTACAGTGAAGCGGGCAGCCGCGTCAAGCGACTGGTCCGATCTGCTGCAGAGGCGCTCACGCTCTGGTCCCCCCTCGCCCCACGTGCGGGCACGAAGACCGACGGGAAGCCCTCACAGACCCTCAGGCCCCCTTCTCGGGGCAGCTGGAGCGGTCCAAAGCCTGGGTGGACCCATCGCCCCAGCCTGTGGATCAGCCTGGGCGTGCGCGCGGCGTGCACCCGAGTGCGGCCAGGCTCCGGCAAGGCTAAACATAGGTTGGTTAATCCTTGCTTGCCGCACTCGAGCGAGAACCGACAGCACCCGCACGTCCCGCATGCTTGCAGCATGCCCTTGGGAAGTGAAATTGCGCTTTCGTCTGAAATAAGGGCGGCCAAGAGGCAGATCCTCTTCGTGTGCGATCCCCCTGATAGTGAGTCCTTCAATGTAGTGTTCAAGAGGTGCGGCCAGTACTCTGAGACGGCTCCGAGGTGAATGTAAGGACAACTCCCAAAGAAATTGTCCCAGGATGAATGGGCGCTCCTTTCGGGCGGCCGTCACCGCAAAACCAGTTTGAAGGCCGCCCCCCAACCTTCCAAGCCAATCCCTGCTGCCCAGCCCCTCAAGGAAGAAGCCGAGAGGCAGGCCGGGGCGAGCGCAAGTGGAGATCGGATTCAATCCCAAGGTTTTGGTTGACCGTCGGGTCGGCCTAGCCCAAGCCTTCCCCCATACCCTGTGATGGTCCCCCTTCCTCCTCGTGCACCGTGCTCTCACAAAGACGGGTCCTCATCCCCCACCTCCCTTCGGCGATCGGCCCCCGTGCGAGAAGGCGGCGGCAGACACACGCCGAGAGCCCCCCAGAACGTCAGAGCAGCCTCTGTCCGCTTCAGAGGGCCCCAAAGCACGAGCCAAACTGCAGGTCAGGTCAGGTCGGCCAAACTGCAGGTCAGGTCAGGTCGGGTCAGGTCAGGCAAACCTGCGCCAGACGGTGCGCGAGGATACCCGGAGTAATCTGCGAGGGCTCCTACCGGGAGTAATTTGAGAGGCTCCGAGGTGGATGCAAGGAAAGCTCCCACGGAATTGTTCCCAGGCGCCCTGCAGCCCAAGGCGAACCCGATCCCCCGGAATTCTTCTCCAGCCTCCTCCATCCCTCATCCTTTGAGCAGGGACCGACCGTCCCGGCATTCCAATAGTCCTACAGTCCTACCACGACATGTTTTTAGAACCCAGCAATGTTCTAAGAACAGAAACAATGTTCTTAGAACATAGACCCTAAGTGAGAAAACAAGACAGACTCCGCCAGAAATGTTCTAAGAACATTTCCTGGAAACCACCAAAAAGGTTCTTAGAACATGGTTTGGTAGGGCTAAAGGCGAGCCAGGACGCTTCGCCACTGCTTGAATCCTCCTCCATCCTCCCCGACAGCTCCCGCACGTCCTCCCCCATCCCCCTTCGCCTCCATCCTCCAGAAACAAGGGTCGGAGGTCGGGGGGAGGGCTCGCCGTGGCGCTGCGACGAGGCGGCGACGGCCTCCTGGAACTCGTCGAACTTGCTGATCATGCCCTGGCCACCCGTGCACGTCGGTCGGAAGAAATAGGTAAAAACATTAAGTTCGGCGGCGAGCAAGGGGGCAGAGGACGAAAAAGAAGAAGAAGAAGAAGAAGAAGGAGAAGAAGGCCATCTCAGAAAGAGCGCGACTTCTGAGAAGCCCTCGCACCTTCTGAGAAGTTGACTGCGCCTGGGGGAGAGCTTAACAAACTTCTCAAAGTCCCGGGGGGCTTCCAAGCCTTCCGAGAAGGCCCGCCCCTTTCGCACTTCCTCCCCAACCTCGCAAGGCGAATAACATAGGTCGGGTTCAGGTTCTCCCAAAGCACCGCAGGTCACGGCATAAACATGTCGGCTGTTGAAGTAGGAGGGCGCTAGAGGCAGATCTGGGATCTGGAAATCTAAACGTGCCTAAATCTATGCCCCTGATAGTCGCAGGGTGGGGATAAGAAAGATCGGGGCTCGGGGGGGATAACAATTTGTGCCCAGGGAATTCGTATATACACTGATACGTTAGTGTGGTATAACGATATCCTGCTCGCTCAGGCGGGGCCTATTTGGAGGGGTTGGAGGAGCACCAAACCTGAGAAATGGTAATGTATAGTAATGCCCTGCTCGCTCTGGCGAGGCCTCCTTAGAGGGGTCGGAGGAGCACGAAACATCAGAAATAGCATGGTATAGCGATACTCTGCTCGCTACGGAAGGGCCTCCATCGCTGTGGAGGGGCCTCCCACGGCCCTGCCACACGCTAACATGGTGAGCATGTTTGGAAAACTGAAATGGTGAGATTCCCGTAACCCTGCCATGCCATGCGTTCGAGATAGTGTTGCTACTCAACATAAGAGGACTGCAACTTCGATTCGTACTTCCCCCTGCGAAAATGGAGTTCGACCTCGCCGTCCCTTTTCCCCCGACCAACTCTGCCTTGGCAAAGGGTAATCAACTCTGAGAAGTGAACGTAGGGCATGCTTTATCATCCGTGGCACTCGGCTACTTTCAACGAGCGACTGGTATTATAACACAGGTGAAGGGCGGTGTCTTCTTGAGCACGGGTGTTCCCTTAATGCTTCTCCCGATGAAGCATACGACCACCGACGAAAATAAATTACCCAGGCGACGTACCCGACCCCTGCGCAATGCGGGGACACGAGTACCCTGGGACACGCGGCATTTGTGAGGCTCGCAACCCCCCAGGGATGGTGAGGCCCCGCTCAGATCTGCGTGATGCCTCACTCCGCTGGACCCACGAGCAGCCCTCGGAAAAAGCAACAATTCCGCAGATCGCAGCCCACAAAGGACGGTGAGGTCCCGCTCAGATCTGCACCGTGCCTCACTCCGCTGGACCCACCAGGAGCCCTCGAAAGAGGCGACAACTTCCCAGATCGCAGCACCCCAAGGACGACGAGGTCTCGCTCAGATCCGCGCGGTGCCTCTCCACTGGACCCACCAGCAGCCCACGAAAGTGGCGACTATTTCGCAGATCGCAGCCACTCCAGGGACAGCGAGGTCTCGCGCAGATCCACGCGGTGACTCACTCCGCTGGACCCAGCAGCAGCCCTCGAAAGTGGCGACAGTTTCCCAGATCGCAGCACCCCAGGGACGGCGAGGTCTCGCTCAGATCTGCGCGGTGCCTCACTCCACTGGACCCACCAGCAGCCCACGAAAGTGGCGACAATTCTGCGCGGTGCCTCAACCCGCTGGACCCACCAGCAGCCCTCGGAAGTGGCGACAGTTTCGCAGATCGCCGCTCCCCAAGGACGGCGAGGTCTCGCGCAGATCCGCGCGGTGCCTCACTCCGCTGGACCCACCAGCAACCCTCGAAAGTGGCGACGGTTTCGCAGATCGCAGCCCCCCCCAAGGGACGGCAAGGTCTCGGTCAGGTCTGCGCGGTGCCTCACTCCGCTGGACCCACCAGCAGCCCTCGGAAAAAAAACAACAATTCCGCAGATCGCAGCCCCCCAGGGACGGCGAGTTCTCCCCTAAGTCTGCCTCACTCCGCCGGACCCGACAGCAGCCCTGGAAAGTGGCGACGGTGTCCCAGATCGCAGCCCCCCAGGGACGGCGGAGTCTCGCTCAGGTCTGCGCGGTGCCTCACTCCGCTGGACCCACCAGCAGCCCTCGAAAGTGGCGACGGTTTCGCAGATCGCAGCCCCCCAGCGACGGCGAATGGAGGACAGGAGGAGGGAGGAGGCGGGAGGAGGGACGCGCGACCAGTGCTCTATTCAAAACGAAGACCCAAACAAGGAGGGTGGGAATAAATAGGCACAGCCGCTGCACGGCTCTAGAGCGTTCTCTTCCCCAGAGCAAGGCAATCGCTGGAAGCTCCTTTGAGAACTGTGTTCGAACTGGGGTTCGCCTGAGTTGCAGACATATGGGGCGTTCGTTCTTCAAGAAATCATGCATACCAGAAAGAACAGTGTGGGAACTGATGCGGCCTTGCGACGGGAAGGTGCGTTGTTGTAAGTTATGGCAGGATCTGAAGGATCCTGTGTTTTTTTCAGAACTCGTTCGCATCACACCCGCGTCGGTTCTGCGACGGAAACGTATGCAACAATATCGTTGGTGCACCTTGAGCATACTGTTGTTTTCAGACCTCGTCCGCGTCCCACCAGCGTCCTCGAATTCCCTTCATCGTTTTCCTTCAATATTTCCCGTTCAGGTGCCAGGGAGGGCGTCACACTCCTCCACGAGGTCCACTGGAAACTTAGGTTGTTTGGCTACAGGGCAAGGCATACCCTCGTTAGGTGATGCGAACCTTCTAAATACCCGCCCTTTCCTCTTCTGCTTCCAGATCTGCCCCTTCTCCCCATCCTCTCCTCCTCCCCCACCCCCTCTTCCCCTCCTCCTCGTCCTCCTCCCCCGCCTTCTCCTCATCACAATCCGCTCATATTCATTATGCTCCCACTCATCCCGTCATCCTCATCCCAGCTCCTCCTTCCTTGCACTCCAAATCATTCCTCCAGTTCCTCTCCCCCTCATCCTTGGATCTCCGGGATCGTCTGACCCAGGTCAATCCAGGCCCGGGTCAATCAGGCGTTGGAGAATCCTGCAAAACCCTGCAATATCCTGCACCCAAACCCGGGTCGATGAGAAGGATACTGTAAGATCCTGCAGGATCCTGCACCCAAGGCCGAGTCAGTGCGACCCTGGCCCTGCAGGATCCTGCAAGCAACGGCACGCTGGCTGACCCGTGTTTGAATTGACTCCCGTCTCTTCAGCCCCGAGAATATCCTCTCCTCATTCCGTCTGCATTCTGTCGCTCCCGCCTCCCTCCCCACCGTATTTTCCACCCGCTTCATCCTTCCGCCTCCCCCTCCTCCTCCTGATGCCCAGACCCAGGCGTCCTGCAGCTCGTCCCAAAGCACGGCCTTCGACTTTCGCAAAACCTGCCGCCGCCGCCGCCGGGCGCCCACCCCTCCTCCTGCGGCGCCTCCACTCCCGACGCTCTTCTCGGCTCCCAGCCCCCTGCTCCCGCATCCCGCCTTCCTCCCTGGAAGGTCGGAGCGGAGAGTGCGAGACTAGAGTCCGAGAGCAAAGCCCCAGAGGGTCGGAAAGGCGTGGGGTGGTAACTAGTGCGGAGGTGTGGAATGGAGTGGGTTCAGTGAAATCGAATGAATTGAAAGAGGCGGGTGACGCGGGGAGGCATGGGGAGGAGAGCAAAGGAGTGGTGGAATCAGCCCTACTCATTTCTGCTGCACCCCGCGCCCGCACACCCTCGCACGCCTGCGTCCCCGAACGAGAGCCTCGGAATAACAGCAGACAGCATATGAGTGCCTCCAGCAGCAGTCACATGTAGAACGAACTCAGGACAAAAAAAAAATCGCGTGAGGATAAATCGCGAATCTCTGAGATCCGGCGGCTCTGGAGGATGTCTCGGGCGCCACGGCCTTCTCACAGCGTTCCGGAAAACGCTGAGAACGTTCTGGAACGCTCTGGAACGAATTTCTCCTCGTCGTAGCCCCGGCCGACAACATTCCGCCAAGCAGCGATCTCCTGGAGCGCGTTCTGCCTGGGGTCCCAGGGCGCTTCCATGTTCTCACCCGCAAAACCTCACCGCCGCCCCCAAACACCTCCTCGCTCGTACTCGCATTCGCATTCGCACTCTCATCAAGACATGGTCATTGCCTCCTTGGGCTGGAGCGTGGAAGTCGTAACATCTCTATGCGCACAAGTCCTGGAGAAAGAAAGGCCAGACAGCACTAGCGCGCTGCCCTGCTGGAGTTGGTTTTGGCGCCTGTGTCGGTTGGCGTCGTGCTGGCAGGTGTCTTGGTCGTCTTGTTCGGGTGATGGGCCCCCGTCGATGAGATACAGTCGGACTCCATGCTCATTCAGGTGGTTGTGTCGGAGGCCCCGTGGATCCACGTGATATCATTCATGGCGTCACTCAAACCATCGTTCGCGCGCGTGGTCGTAATCCGCTGTCGGATGTAGTCGTGCATATCGTCCTCCCACCGTTTCGGTTGGCACCTTGTTGGCGCTATCCTCGTTGTCCCGCAACGAGACCAGGATGCTAGTGAGCAACTTGTTAAGTCCATCGGGTGGCGCTGTGACGGACTTTTGTACAGAACGCAAAGTCAGAGCCATAAATTAGTCATGTTTGTGTGCGTGTGTTTTGTTTTTGTGGTGTTCCTGTGTTGATGTTCCGTTCGGTACATGATTGTTTTGCATGTGCTTTATATGAGTTGTTTGTGCTTGTTTGTTGTGTTGTGTTTCGCGCACGCGCCGCAACGGTCTGGACAGTCACACAGGGGAGAGAGGACGCAGAAGAGAGGAGGGGAGGTCAACTACCAAAGCCTCGAAGGCCACCTCTGGGGCCAACCGAATGACGGATAATGGGGGCAGGGAATGGCTAAGGATAGAAAAAGGGGGGCGAAGAATAAGAGCGGGAGGGAAGCGCGAGCGGCGCACCGAGGAGCAGAAGCGGAGAGAAAGGAAGTTAACCTGTTGATCCTACCAAGAAAAGGGCGAGGTTGAAGACAGGCCCACATAACAGTCTTGTGTGGGCCTGTCTTCACAGAACTCGTCGCTGTTTCGTGACCCATGGCTCCATGTCGTGTAGGTCCATCAATTAATTCGCTTTGTGTGTTGCGCGGCGGATGAAGTCGAGCCATGGCTCAGTAAGGTCGTCATCGGTCAGGTTGGTCTGATCGATCGCCTCGGGGAGTTCGGCTTGGTCGGGGTTGCTGCCGACGTCATCGTCAGAGGACGTGGTGGTAGATTGACTGGTGGTCGTTGAAGTAGAAGCCGCCGATGCGGCGGAAGTGCTGTCCGAGAAATGGTTTGGCGAAGTGGTTGTAGCCTGTGCAGTGTGCTCGTCGTGGTGGTTCTTTTGGCGTCGTGGCGTGTTGATGATCAGTAGGATGACTCTTCGTTGTGTGGTGTTGAGCTGTCGTTTCATAGACTCCGTGAAGGTCCACGCGCCCCCTCCGTAAAATGCAGTCGAAGTCACAGTGGCGTCGAACAGCTTGAGTCGGTGCTTCAGTGGGTAGCTGTTGCTCGTGAGCTCCTGCCGGTGGTGTGTGAAGCGGCCCATTCGGATTCGATCTGGTGTTGCAGCTCCACCGCCATTGGCTTGTTGAGTGTGATGGACTGCCCGAGGTATTTGAATTTCCCTTCGTGCGGTAAAATATCAATTTCCATGCCGCGTATGTGACTGATCGCGCGCATGCTCGGCCTGTGCGTTTGGTCGGGGATCTTCTGACCCGGGTCAATCCAGACCCGGGTCAGCAGGAAACCAAAAACTGCAATGCAGGAAAAAAAAAAACTGCAACGCAGGTCTTCGCAAACCCGGGTCAGCCAATACGCGCGGCCGCCTCGCGGCCACGAGCGGCTCCCTGACCCGGGTCAGCCAGAGGGAGCCTTCGCAGGATCCTGCAGGATCCGGCGCCCTGGCTGACCCCCGTCTGCATTGACCCCCGTCTCAAGGCTCCCGATTTGGTACATGTGCTCATGCTATTCATATTCGCCGGGTGTACCTCGAGCCCGCGGGCGGAGGCTGCAGTAACGACGTCGGCGAGCATCTCGGTGAGTCGTGGTAGGGTCGGGGCCATCAGTAGCACATCCATCTGCGAATCACAGATTGGTGAGAATACTGGAGCTGGTGTCGCTGAGTTGGATGCCGTGGTGGGTGTCCCGCCATGTTGTCGTCAGTGGTGCCATGATGCGTTGCAGCACGGCGCTGAAGAGCAGGGAGCTGAGAGGATCCCCCTATCTCGTCCCGCGGTGGAGGGAGAAAGGCTGGCTGTCAACGTCAGTGGTAGAGCTGCTGTAGAGTGGTGAGGTACCCTGGCTCGATGCGCTGGGCGCGCAAAGATTGCCAGATGCTGTCGTGCTCGACCGAGTCGAAGGCTTTCTTGAAATCAATGGCAGACACCCATAGACTCTGTTGCCACTCGTGTGCCCGTTGCTGTAAGAATTGGACTGTAAACAAGTGGTCGTTCATAGACGTGTCCAGGCCGGAAGCCTGCTTGATCAGGTGTTTGGTGGGTGTCGAGTATTGGCTGGAGTAAGTTGCACAGTAACAGGCTCCACAGCTTGTATAGCATAGGTATGCTACATATCGGTCGGTAGTTGCTTGGGAGTGTGAAGTCCCCGGACCTGGGAAGGACAACGACGATGGTCTGTCGCCACGTCTCTGGAGTCGGAACTGTTCTCGGCTAAACCGTGCTGGGAGCTTAGTAGCTTCCCAACTTCCCAGCAAGCCTCCTAGCTCAGCAACTTCCCAGCTTAGTAGCTTCCCAACTTCCCAGTGCTTGGAGCTTAGTAGCTTAGGAGCTCCTCCTCTTCCTCCTCCTCCTCCTCCTCCTCCTCCAACTCCTCTTCCTCTTCCTCCTCCTGCTCCTGCTCCTGGTCTTCCTCCTCCTAAGTGCTGGCTCGGGGGTGGAAAAGTCGACCTGCAACGAGCCATCCAGAGCCGAGGGTCATCGATGGGCGCACCAGAACTTCCTGGACTGGGCAGTGCGGGGTAGCGGGTCCAGCTCGGCGACAAAGCGGGCGACGTCAACTGACCACAGATTCTGGCCAGGACCATCATGGGTCCAGCATCGGACTGGCCAGGATCTGTGAGGTGGTCATTTGACGCCCCCTGACAGCACGGGCGATTAGGGTCGATGGGGTCCAAGGGGCGGTCGCAGGGGAAGCCACTTTCCTTTGATCCTTCCCTCACCGGTGGGGGGGCCCAGGTGGTCGTCCTAGCGAACAGGGTCGGCAGGACTGGCGTAAGCGGGCGACGTCAACTGACCCCCGAACCTGGCCGGGCCTGGCCCAGCAACGGAATGGCCAGGATCGATCAAGTGGTCAGTTGGCGTCGCCCGAAAGAATGAACAATTAGGGTCGATATTCCACACCTGGCCCGATCCCCCCGTCGATCCCCCCTCCGCGATTCCTCTGGAGGCTTCCAGACCCCCATAGCGCCCCAAAATCTCTACGACAGGCTCGCGTCGTGACGGCTTAAGCGCTGGTCTCTGGGCCGATGGTGGCGATTTGTTGGCGCCAATAGCGGCGTTGAGTCATGAACGCCCGCGCCAGGGCCGTCGCCGCATCGATGTGGTGCGACCTACTGCAATACGAACCAGCATAACCATCAAAGCTCGAAGGTCTGCGCTTGTATAGTTCTGGGGTCAGCAACGATACCCCCTCATTGGCGCACGGAACATGCCAGGGGCGCGAAAGTGCCCAAACACTCCCAAATCTTCAGAGAAACAAATAACTCAAAATCTTCCGTCGTACCTTATCATGCATGGCCCCCCCCCTTCATCCCTCACCCCTCGTTTGTAACCCCACCTGGGCCCCTGTCACCAACCCCCCTGTCATCCGCAACCCCGCCCTCCCCCCTGTCATCTGTAATCCTGCTATCCCCCCTTCATCCATGATCCCTTATCCCAAATCTTCACCTCCCATCGACCGTCATCCCTGACCCCTCATGCGTGACCCCTCATCCCTGACCCCACCGACCATCCTTGACCCCTCATCCCTGTCCCCTATTCCTTGGCCATCCAACTGGCCCTCCGTCATCCCTGGCCCCTCTCCCTCCCAAGTGGTGGGACGCGTTCGGTGGCGCGGCGCGGAGCCTCGTTGTGCTTCTCTAGCGAAGCCGTTTTCACCTCCACCCAGCGCCCGCGCGGCTGGGAACGCGGAGCCGCCGAGGACGGCGATCAGTCTCATAGAGGAAGCCCTCCACACCGAGGGTCCGAACAGTCGGGGAGTCGCGCCTAATCGCCGACGCATCGCCGATGCATCGGCGACGTCGGCAACGCATCGGCGCCGTCGGTTCGGCTAGCGTCGGGCTCTCCATCGAACCGCATGGCCGATGTATCGGCGATGCGGCCGCGCCTCCCCGGCCGGGCGCTCCGTGGCCGCGCGGCTCTCGGCCGCCAGCGCCGCGCGCGGCAGCAGAGCGCGGCGCGGGAGGCTGGAGGGGGAGAGGGGGGGATGAGGAGGAGGAAAAGGAGGAGGAGGAGGAGGAGGAGGAGGAGGAGGAGGAGGAGGAGGAGGAGGAGGAGGAGGAGCCTACTTGGACATCATCTTAGGAGGCCAAGACTTTGGGCGTGTGGAGCCAGTTCCGCTGCCCGCGCGCGTTTCCACGGTGAGGCCCCCGCCGCCCGCTGGGCCCCTGACCCTCCAGGGACTAACTCGGGCGCCCGCTCGCGCCGGCGATTGGCGAAAGGGCGGCCGCGGGCGGGAAACGGCCGCGGCCACCCTGGCTTTCCCTGCGGACGCCCCCAAAACTCGTCCATGAAAGCAGGGACCCCGGTTCCTCTATACTCTCCTATTCCTCCTGCTCCTCCTCCTCCTCCTCCGCCTCCTCCTGCTGCTGCTCCTCCTCCTCCTGCTCCTCATCCTCTTGCTCCTCCTCCCCCTCCTCCTCCTCCTCCTGGTCCTCCTCCTCCTCCTCCTCCTGTTCCTCCGCTTCGTCCTCCTCTTCCTCCTCCTCGTCCATTTCCTCCTCCTCCTCCTCCTTCTCCTCCTCCTTCTCCGCCTCATCATAGTCATCCTCATCATCATCATATCCAACGACGTCAGAGCCAAAAGAAAGGAGATAATTACGCAGATCACCTCGCAAAACTATGAGGCTCGTCGCAGAGAGCGGTGACTCTCGAGTGCTGCTCAGAGCGGTGCCACCAGGGTGCTAAATACAGCGGGGGCCTGGCGGCATGCGGGGCGAAGCTATGAATAAAATCCTGCTGCTACGAGGTCCTCGGCCTCATGGTCATCGAAAGGCTCGGGGTCGGAGGTCTGCGCTGGCAAACCAGGGCCTGACTCCGAGCCTGGCTCGCTGGGTGGGGCGCGGGGGGTGGCAGAGGTCGCTGTCGCTGGGACAGCGCCCGAAACTGGCAGAAAACCTCCACTCACAAATCTAACGGGCTCTAGAGGTTGTTGCTGATCGTCTCCAGCCAATGGCCCCCTTCGTCCTCGAGCCAGCCTGCAGGGGCTACCCCCTTGTGGTGGGTCGCGACTGCCTCTGCCTTCAGCGCCCTCTGGATGGGAGCGCGCCCCTCCCAGCTGGGAGCGCCCACGATGACCTTCATCTTCTGCGTGTCGTAGCAGCTCTCCAGGCAAATGAAACTGACGGCGACCTCCAGGTCCGATTTGTCGTTGTCGGGCTCCGCCTCCGCGTCCTCGGGGGAGCACTTGTGCAGGTAGGTCCGTATCTCGTCCTTGATGCCGCCGCCGATGTCGCACTCCATGAGGCCCTCTAGGGCTGCCAGCGCCAGGCTGGCTGCGGGGGAGCCGATCTGCGTCATCCTCGCCTTGCCCTCCGCGCCCTGCGACCGCAGGGAGTCGAGTAGGCCTTTGTACCCCTCCAGCTCGGCGCTGATGTGGCTGATCATCGCGTGCTTGGACGGCATCGTGTAGGTGTCGATCGCGACTGAGGGGGCCAAGCGGTTCCTGTGCGCCGTCTGGAGGACTAGCTTGAGTGTCGCCTGGAGGAGTGCTAATAGATTTCTGGCCTTGCTGTTCCACGCCTTGATATGATGCTCGCCGCGGCGAGTGCGACGCCCTCGTCGGCGCCTCGGCTTCCTGCGCATCCCCTCTTCCTCGTCCTCGCCCATCGATGGCCGCGCCCTCGCCCTCCGAGTCTGCATCCGCTGCTCCTCGCCGCGGTGGTGGTCGCTGAAGTCGAGGCTTGACCGACGGCGGGGCCCCCGCTGCGTTTGCTGCCGAGTCTTGCCCAGATCCTCGCGAGCCCTGGGAGGAGCCCAGGGGGTGGCGCCACGCTGCTCGTGCAAGGGGAGCCTTCGCTGGCGGCTGCTCGTTCTCGCTCGTTCTCACGCCCAGGAGGCGGAGGTGCAGCTGGCGGCGGCGGGAGCGGCGGGGTCGCCGCTGCAAATCTGGCCCGCGTCGGCGCGAACAACATGGCCCGTAGCTTTTTTTTGCTAGCGTACAGTCTAGTCGGTGTACCTCACAGGGGCGCATGCTGTAGCTCTCGAGGCCAGACCAGACGCGGCCCGCGACGTTCGACAGGAACGATAACCTTTTTTGTGTCCAAGGCCCGCCTGGAGAACCAGTAGTCACCCAATCGAGTCCACCCAAGATTGCCCGAGACGATGCGTTCGTGTAGTTCACGCTGTGAGTGTAGTGCTGCATGTATATGCCCACCCAGATGTATGAGTTCCTGGACTGCTTCGCCTGATATGTTTCGCTCAGCATAATTTTTGGCTGCTCTGCTAGCTAGGCTGACGAGGGTCTCTTGCGTGCTAATGTGTTGCGTACATCACCCACGACGTAATGCTCGTGATAAGCTCGCGTTGTCAATCATGTCTAGCAGTCTGGCCTGGTAAGCGGTCCCGTCGGGGACCAGGAGAATATTAAATGAGTCGTCAACGAGCGCGCCGATGTGCCCAGTGAAAGCCTGCTCGGCGAAGGGACACTGTACTTGAAAAGGCTGCCCTTGTACCTCGGTCATCTCCTGCGCCCACTCCTCCACTAATGGGTAAAATGACCCCATGAAAAGCTCGGGCTCATTCGAGTCCCCCCCCCCCTCCTGTCCCTGGCCGAAGTGCTAGGGCAACATCAGAGGCCTGGATGAAAACGACTGCGCGCTCACGGTCTTGCTCCAATAGGGGATGGAAGTGTTCGTCGTCGCATCGTACCGCGTGTGCAGCAATCAAACGTGCGTGGTCACCCGTGGCGAAGGCATTGCGCATGTCGTAGCTTATGGCCAGGAATGAAATGTTGGCTGCTCTCAACTTCCAAATCATCAGCTTCGCGAGCAACATCAAAGACTCGCGCCGTCTGGATTGAATGCCTCCGTAGGCCCACGATGGTGCATCAAACAAGGATCTATACGAAATCAGTCCAACTCGCAGATAGAGGCGGCAGAAAAGATCGAAACAATGAAAGAGCCGAACACATTGATTAATATCTTCAATAAACCGTCCCGTGGGGACCTTGCCCTTCTTGCCAATCGCGATGGCGCGGCTGGTGTATGCCTGAGCTGGCAACTCCGTCGTGCGTCGCACATGTCCGAGAAGGGTAACAAATGCCATGATAATCGTGCAACACATTTGTGAATCTAGCTGGAGCGACCGCCGGTCAGGTCGAGGAAGCTTGGTCGCCAAAGGTTGGATCTGCAAGCGCTGATTATCCCCCAGCCCTGTGCGATCGGGGCCAGGCCGCGTGAGAAACTTCGGCGTCAGCATCATTATCGCCAGCTCGATGGGCCACGCCCAGGGTGGGTTGCACCTTCTCCTCTTCTCGCGCCACAGGCGCTTCTGAATCAATTCCAATTCGGCACTTGCTTCCTCGAGGTCCTCAATGGTCGCGGCGCCGATATATTCGCCCACGGGTTGCATATTGTCCATCTGCTCCAGCATCCGTGGTGCCGCCGTGGAGTCGTCGATGTAAAGACTCACGTGTATCGAACTTGCTGCCATGCCCCCGTCGGTTGCATCTGCCGCCAGTGCCTGCTCATACTCGCTGGCCGACGGTCTCGTCGTGGGGAGTGAATGGCAGGAACGTCGGCGTGGGCCCGCACGTCGGCCCGCTCGTAGATAAGTTAAGTGGGATAGTCGCGATAGACCACGCGATGCCCATGCTTGCCGAATATCATTATCAAGAGAAACCTGCCACCAATGATTCATCCATTTCTGACGTTCTCGCAGTCTGGCTTGAATATGGCATGGCATCCGTGAATTGTATGTATGTCCACGTTCGCGGGCTTCCGCTCGCTGGCGCAGTAGTGGGAGTCGATCCTTTTGAGTTTGCCTGTGCCAGTGCGGTCGGAGTCCTTCACGAGAATAATATTTGGCTGCCGCGGTGCGGGTCGCGTGTGCAAGTATCGCAGCGTGCCTCGTCGTAAACTGATCCATCTTGGCCGCTCGAAAAACTTGCTTATGTCGTTCCAGGTCCGCAGCAAGAAACGTGAGAAATTCTACTCGCTTGTATCCAGTCTGAAATCCCGCTGCAAGTGCACCCCAGTCCCATACTATTCGGGACTCAAGTGGGTTCGACGGGTTGATCGGCATTGATATTCGCATCACCATTGGGATGTATTCGGGGACGTGCTCAAGTCCACGCACTCGCTTATGTGCCCGCCAATCCAATAGGATGCTTTGAACGACCTCGCGTACGTTATGATATCAAATGAAATAGTCAATACGTGATGGGGACTTTGTTGGGCCATAATATGTGTGTCCGACGTCTGCGTGGGGATTCAGCGCTGAAAGGTCGTGATACAGTAACTGATTGCGTACATGCCTGCCAAATTCACGTTCGTCCCCAGCTTGAAATGGCCCCACGGCCGCGACGTCCGTGGTTCGTTTGGACTGCACACCTAAGCATTGATTAAGATCCGTGAAAATGATGGGGGCGGTCCTCGCTGGGCATTCGGCGATCGCCTTAATGAACCAAGCCCATCGTTGCATGCACCCGCCCTTCCATTGTCTGATCTTGGCTCCTGTGGGGCGGGGGGCAAAGTCGGCCACGATATAGCGAATACGTAGTCCTCCTCGGTGGACCTCAACCAGCCCCCCCCCCCACGCCCTCGCAATCCTGGCCCAGGGTACATGATCATGCATACATCCTGCGTGCGAAACTGCTTCTTCGGGGGGCCGGTGCTGCGGCCTGCTGATGCATTGCGATGTACACCACGTGTCCAACA